ACAAAAAACCCCAAACAAAAAAGCAAAAAAACCAAACAAAACCCCCCCAAACAAACAAACACAAATAAAACAAAAAACAAAAACAAACAAACAAAAAGCCCCCAAATTTTTGTGAAATCCCCGCGGGAACACCCCTTCCTGCCACCCCGAGGGATTTCTCGGGGCAGGGTGAGCGCGGGGAGGCGAGGGAGGGGGCGTACCTCTGCGTCGCTGTCTGGCTGTAGTCTGTGGGAAGGACACCCCCCCCCCCAAAAAAAAAAAAACAAGAGGTAAGAGGTAGTCGTGTAAACGCACGCCGTGGCGTGGAGATTCGCGTTATACGCACGCCGTTAGTAGTTTTTTATCGCCGTTATTAATGACTTGTCACTGAAGTGCAGCAACAGCCAAGCTAAGGCACAAGATGGGGGAGTTTGGGTGTTTAAGCCCCCTCAAAAGACCTTCAACAACCGGTACCCCTCCCTAAAAAAGCACCCAAAGAGCAGATTTAACTATACAGATGTAAAAAAAAAAAAAACCACAAACCCTGAATGGGTGAGTTTTCCTCAAATACCGCACAACAAAAGGGGGCCTGGGTCCCCCCAAAACAGATTTAACTATACAAAAGTGGAAAAAAAAAAACCAACACAAATGGGGAGGTTTTCCTCAAATACCGCACAGCAAAATGGGGTCCAAGCCCCCCAGAGAACAGATTTAATTATGCAGACATAAAAAAAAAAAACCCAAATGATTGAGTTTTCCTTAATTACTGCACAACCAGAAGAGGCCTGGGCCCCTCAAGAACAGATTTAACTATATAGAGGTGAAAAAAAGCCCTGAATGGGTGAGTTTTCCTCAAATATCGCACAACAAAAGGGGGCCTGGGTCCCTCAAGAACAGATTTAACTATATAGAGGTGAAAAAACCCACAAATTGGGAGGTTTTCCTCAAACATCACACAACAAAAGGGGGCCTGAGTCCCCCAGACAACAGATTTAACTACACAAAAATGAATAAAAACCCCAAATGGGTGAGTTTTCCTCCAATATCACACCACAGAAGAGGGCCTGGGCCCCCGGAGAACAGATTTAGCTATACAGAGCTGAAAAAAAAACCAGAATGGGTGAGTTTTCCTCAAATACTGCACAACAAAAGGGGGTCTGAACCCCCCGACAATAGATTTAACTATAGAGAGGTAAAAAATCTACAGAACGGGTGAGTTTTGCTCAAATACCGCACAATCAAAGGGGGCCTGGGTCCCCCAAAAACACATTTAACTATATAGAGGTAAAAAAATGTACAGAATGGGTGAGTTTTCCTCAAATACTGAAAAAATGTATAGAATGGGTGAGTTTTCCTCAAATACTGCACAACAAAAGGGGGTCTGAACCCCCAGACAACAGCTTTAACTATAGAGAGATAAAAAAAATCTACAGAATGGGTGAGTTTTGCTCAAATACCGCACAATCAAAGGGGGCCTGGGTTCCCCAAGAACACATTTAGCTATATAGAGGTAAAAAAACACAGAATGGGTGAGTTTTCCTCAAATACTGCACAACAAGAGGGGGTCTGAACCCCCAGACAACAGATTTAACTGTAGAGAGGTAAAAAACCCCACAGAGTGGGTGAGTTCTGCTCAAATACTGCACAATCAAAGGGGGCCTGGGTCCCCCAAGAACACATTTAATTATATAGAGGTAAAAAAATGTACAGAATGGGTGAGTTTTCCTCAAATACTGCACAACAAAAGGGGGTCTGAACCCCCAGACAACAGATTTAACTGTAGAGAGATAAAAAAATCTACAGAATGGGTGAGTTTTCCTCAAACACTGAACAACAAAAGGGCGTCTGAACCCCCAGACAACAGCTTTAACTATAGAGAGATAAAAAAAATCTACAGAATGGGTGAGTTTT